TGGGATAATGGCCTCCAGCTGCATCCATGTTGCAAAGGACATGATTTCCTTCTTTGTATGGCTGCATAATATTTCATCCATATATATGTCACATTTTATTGATCCAATCCACTGTTGATGAGCATCTAGGTTGTCAATAAATATTAAGCACTTTTTTAATGTCTCAGGCAGCATTTCAGGAAACGGGGATACAACAGTGAACAGAAGACAGAAGTCTCTGCCTTCATGGATTCTATATTCTGGGCCTTAGGGATATGGAAAATAAACAAGACTATAAATCAAATATATAGCATATAAATAGTTTTCGGTGCTAGAGAGAAGAATAAAGCAGGGAAGAGGGATATGAGGAATTCTGTATTGTGATTGGATCAAAGATGATTTCTCATGATATTGTTTTTGGAGTATTTATTCCTCATGGAACTTTTTGAGGGCAGATTTAATATTTAACGTTCAGTTCTTCATAACAAGATGTAAAGAGTTCCAATTTAGGACTTTTTTTTCCTTGAAAATCTCATTGTCTTAATGGAATTAAATAATGTAAAATTAAATATAGTTCTTCAAAGTTATTTTGTCTAATGTTTTGAGTGTCAGTATATAAAATAACTCTATGAAGACCTGACTTATTTAATGTCAACTCTGTTATTCTGCTTTGTATTATTTAAAATTTTATAAATATTAGTTGGCAGAATAATGATGTGGCGTTTTTCCTAAGGTTATATTCCAGACATGCTCTGACTTAATATTTCCTTTAACTGACAATTTACTCTCCTAGGTAGTAAATAATACCTCAGAATTTTTTTTGTATATAAAACTAATAGCTTTCATAATAAATTTATTATTGCAGCATTTTCTTCTTGCAATATTAAATATTCACTTACACTTCACTTGACTGATAGAATTTCAACATAGAAAGCACATAAAGAGATTGTCATTGTTTACCCCTATATTGCGTATAAGAATTGTAGATTGCATATTGCTTACAAACAATAAACTCCGATGACACTCCCTGTTTGTGCTGCTCACATTGATGCCCTGATTAGGTATCAAGGGGACATACATGATCACTTGATCATTTGTCACATGCATGTTCAGGGATGCCAGCACTGGCATTGATTTGGATGTTTGTCTATCTGACTATTTAACCTACCAAAAGCTAAGTCTAAATAGCTACAGTGTAACAGTAGATTCTGGCCAGATGCTGAGACTGAGGTAGAATTCTTGCCCACCCCTCCTGTCTCAAATTCAATTATCCCTTGGAAGGGGCACAAAAGTATCAGTCATTGGAGTGGCAGCCTCCCAACCTTGTTCCTGTCTGGTGACCAAAGCGTGGAACATGGCATCTCAAAGGGTCATAACAAAGTTCATTCTGATCCTAGGCATTGTTAATTGAGTGGTTGGATTTTCACCGTTATTTGCCTGTTGAGTTTCCTCAGAATCTGACTTCCTAGTCAGTAGGCGCAGTCAACAGATGAGGGCTTCTTAGCTTAACTGATCTTACGAATTCCATTAGGAGGGATGAGAACCTGAGTTAGGTTCTAGCAAGTGGTTCCCAGGCTTCATAAGTATTTACCCTTATGCTGCAGTTATAGCATCATTAGTTACAACTGTTGCTGAAGCTTGAATTCAAATAAAAAGCAATTAGATGTTAATTCCAGTACTCAACTCACCTGCAACTGAAACTTAATGATCTGGCAATTTGAACTTGAATATGAAAAAGGAATTGCTTTAGCTTTTTTGATCCTCTGATTTTATTGTCTGCCACAAAAGAAAAGCAAATAATACACAGCATCAGTGCAAAGCATGGAAAAGGGGGTAGGAGCCACATTCGCTAAAAATTCTAAAAGCTGGTCTATAGCTCTGCTCCAGAATTACCTGAAGGTTGGATGGCGGTGAAGTCCATTATTTAATCCGACAATTTCCTAGACATCACAAACAACAGGCCGCAAATCTCAGATCAGGAAATGCTTCCTGGAACCCTGGATGTGATCTAATGTCCTCTTTTTTCCAAACAACCACAGACATCTGTGCACACCTCTGCTGTGACTTTGGTCACATCTCCCTGCATACACAGGAAGTCACTTGCTTGTTGGTTGCCCCTTTTCTTGATTATGTTTTCAGAAGGAAGATCTGATTTTAAATTCAATTTTATATCCCAAGAACCTAGCACAGTTTTAGGTAAGAACTCAGTAAAAATCACTACTACGACTTCTAAAATGACTACTACTATCAGTACTGCTGCTGGTAGTACTGGAGTGCTAGTACTATTCCTGATTTTGCTGCTGCTACCATATCCAGTGTAGCTGGTGAGCTAATGAGGACCCCACTCAGGCACATGGGATATGCATACACATTTCCACATTGGGGTTCTTTTCAGTCACCCCCCAGAGATGGTCATGGCAGAGGGAAGATGTGGAGGCATTCTGGATGAAGGGAAAAGTTTAAGAGTTTATGATAGAAAAACCACTCATATTGCAAAGAGTGATATGATCACTGTGAATTTGCTATACCTCTTGGATTTTACAATATTTCTATCATTTGTGAAATTTTGTATTTTCTATAGCGTATTTGGTTTCCTACAAAAGGTATGATTGCCCTAGCATGGTGATGCTGTAGAAGGAGATGAGAATTTGATTCAACATCATCTAATACATATTTTATCAATAATTAAGAAAACATTTGCTAACCTAATGAACTTAAACAAGTCTCTGAGTCTCAGCGTCAGTTTCACTGTCCATAAATTCAGAATAATGTAACCTGTCTTCTCAGGCTATTTTGAGGATGCAAAGAGGAAACAAATATGAAAGTGATTTGCAAGCTGCCAGGTACTAGGCAACGTAAGGTGTTACATGGCTGTGACAAATTTTCCTTCTGAACCTCCTGTAGCACTTTGTACTGAATGGCACGTTCAGCTGGTTGGAGGCCAGAGCCATGGTCTTGTTGGAAATAAGTACCTGATATGAGGTACAAAGACCTGGGAGCAAAGCTCTGCCCCACCGTTTCACTAGTTATGTGACCTGAGATAAATTACTTGAGAAAAGAATCTTAAAGTCATCCCGCTCATGGGTTACTGTGAGAATTAAGTAGAAAAATATCTGTGCAGGCACCTGGTGTACTGCAGGCAGTTGGCCAGTGTTTACACAGCATTTCTTTTAGGGCAGAGAAAGATACAAATGAATCAAAATGGTTTGGAGTAGGTAACCTGCAAAGAGGAGAAAGCTTGGACGCTGCAGACCTGGCTTCCTACTCTGCCCTGTATGACCTGAGCAAGTCCTAGAACCGCTCTAAGCCTGTTTCCTCAGATGAGAATTGGGAGGAATAATGATGATAATAATAATAAAAAAGCATTTCCTTAATTATCTCTTAGGGTTGCTCTGAGGACTAAAAAATATAAGATATCAGCAGACATGGGATAGGAACTAAACATTTAGCCTATCCTCCCCCAAAGTTTAGCATCATGCTCGTGATAATTCTCCTTATTTTTAAAGATAGTCTTAAACCATGTCCAGGTGTTTTCTGTTGATTCAAGAAGAGCCTAGGATGCACTTTTGACAAAATGTTTGCAGTCCAGTATAAAACTTTACCTTAGCCAGGCGTGGTGGCACGTGCCTGTTGTGCCAGTCATTTGGGAGACTGAGGCAGGAGGATCGCTTGAGCCCAGGAGTTTGAGGTTGCAGTGACGGCACTCCAGCCTGCGCAACAGAGTGAGACCCTGTTTCAAAAAACGAGGACGACAACAACAACAAAGAACAACAACAAAAAACCTTTACCATCTCTGGAAGCCACCTTTTGAGTGGCAAAACACCAATGAAAATGAATGAAGGTGGAGAAGAAGAGGAAAGAGAGAGGCAGCTGATGAGAAATGGAGGGCTAGTGTAGGAGCAAGAAGAGACACTCGGTCTAGCAACTTTGATAAGATGAAAGCTTTCTTCCTGAGCTCTTCTCCCCTTGTCTGCCTTGAGCCCTTCTCTCCTGTCCTTCTTTCCATTGAAACCTTCGTGAAGGCAAAGCCAACGAAGATCTCGAGAGTGCAAGGGGAGGCAAAGTGTGGCGGGAAGAGCACCTCCCCGGCAGGCTGAGGAAGCCTGCCCACACCGCAGGGCCCGCTGCAGGGGCAACCTTACTGACTAGGCTGATTCCTGGCAACAATGAGGCTGGGACAGTGTAACAATAAGAAGGAGAACACCTACCACGTATTGAACTTTCATTGTGTGCTCTACCAGTACCTTCTCAGTGGACTCTCAACGAAAGTCTCATAGGGCAATTCTGCAGCCCTGTCTCTTTGCCCAGTCATGGAGTTAGTAAGCTGCAGAGGCAGGACTTGAAGTCAGGTCCCCCACTCCACCGTCCCCTTTCAGCTAAGGAGGTCGAGCGAGCATTTCTGCGTGAGGTCATTCAGAAATGGTTTATGCCAGCAATTTTATTCATCTTCCTAGAGGTGGAAGTGGTGAATAAGCTCTTTTACTCATGACTAAGTGGAATTTATTTCTGGTAGATTATTAAGTGGAGGGTCATATAAAGATTTCCCCATAGAACAAACATGGCTTAGACTTGAGGGGCTACCTGGGGAGTAGCCTGCAAGCCAGCCCAGAAGGGTGAGTTTATCCCAGTGATGCTCGTAGCTGAATAGCTCTGCTCTAGCTGAATAGCTCAACAGGCTCCAAAGTTAGCTATCCAAGTCTTTTCTGGACCTGGATGTTGGAATTGATCAGTACATCTGCAACTGTAATGATTATTTTTGTCTTTTGACATATCTCACCTGAATCTGAGAGCTGATGTATTTTTCTTAAACATTTTTTTTTTCTTTTACTGTGAAATATTCTAGTCACGCACTTTGGTGGCTAGAAGAGTGAATTAATAGTAGTCTAATCACCCTGGAGATGCTATGCTTCTGTGAGCTGGCACTGAGGTAAGGCGGCACATCTCTGTGGAAATGACAAGTGAATGAATCTGCCCCTCATTTAACTGGCTGTTCTTTTCTCTCTCTCTGTTTTCTCTCCTAGGAAACAAATGGAAGACTGCTGCGACCCTGCCCATCTCTTTGCTATGACTAAAATGAATTCCCCTATGGGGAAGAGCATGTGGTATGATGGGGAGTTTTTATACTCTTTCACCATTGACAATTCAACTTATTCTCTCTTCCCTCAGGTTAGTATAGAGTTGGTTGCCTTCAATATAGTTTCTTAAATTTCTTGGTATCATAGAAAAGGGATAAGTGAGTTTGCCTAACTCATCAGATAGACTTTTTGTTTTCTTTCTTCTCTCTTAACTTTAAATGCTTTTCTTTATATCTGTCATTTGTGTGTGTGAATAAATCACATAGTCTTTTGATGCAAGGGTGGAAGCAGGATATTATAGAGTTACAGTTTTCCTAGCCTTTCTGATTTGAGCCCTGAGACTGAAGGTAGCAAGAAATGAATGATCAGGGACTTGTGGAATTCTAGTGTTCTGAGGTTGGCTGTGGAATGCCCGTAAGAATTTGTGTGATACTGGAATGTTTTCTTAGGACTGATGTTGCTCAAGGAGTGGGGACCATATGATGAGAAGTTTGCTTCTTAGAGCTCTTGAATGTGGTTAGATTACTGCTGTGAAATGGAGGAGTGGTGGATACGGAGAGGAATAATTCAACTTGACCACTTTTGAAGTGGTCTAAATCAAGCTTTGCTTACTTAATATCTCTTCTTGGTTTTCTGAGCATTGAAATAAAATGTTTTTCTAACATACATGTAGGCAGCAAGTGGGGGGAAAAGGGAAATTTTATTTTAGGGAACTCTAGCTGTGGGGAGGGGAGATCTTAGGCAAAATTGCAATTAGGGAAAAATTCAGAAATGAATTGTGGCCTCCCCAAGACCTCTTTTAGCCTCCCTTGGTTTGCTCAGATGATTGTACAGAAAGAAAATTTTGAGCCTTGGAAGGTGGGACTGAACCTTTCATGCATCTCTGTTAATAGTCCATGAGACTTTAAAGGAGGAATCCCACAAAGTTGAGACACAGGTTCTGCCAGATCCAAAGTCACACTCTCTATGAAATAGCCATGCTGACTAGCTCATCCTTAGCTATTTTAGTCTAGTTTAATGGTTTTAAAATGTAGTGATAAGGTTTTTCTTTTAATTTTTGAAATAGGAAATAGAAGCTTTAGTTTATTGCCAGTATCTACGTGTTTTCTCTCTCTTCTTCATCTGCCCTTGGGAGGCTTCGAAGTGTCAAAGGAAATAACTAAGAGTCATAATATACGGAACTGAATTTTGTCTCCATCTCTCACTAACTAAATTCCTTGGGTAATTACCTAAGTCGTCTGAGATTCAGCTGTCTTGTCTCTATGATGGCTAGAGCAGCACTTGTCCTATTTACCTTACAGAGCTGTGGAAAAGATCAACTTAGATAATGCGTGGAAATATCCTCTTTTTTTTTTTTTTTTTTTGACAGAGTCCCACTCACTGTGTTGCCTGGGCTTGAGTGCAGTAGCATGATCTCGGCTCACTGCAACCTCCACCTTTCAGGTTCAAGCAATCCTCCTGCCTCAGCCTCCTGAGTAGCTGGGATCACAGACATGTACCACCAAACCCAGCGAAGTTTTGTATTTTTAGTAGAGACCATGTTTCGCCATGCTGGCCAAGCTGGTCTCGAACTCCTGACCTCAAGTGACCTGCCCATCTTGGCCTCCCAAAGTGGTAGGATTACAGGCGTGAGCCATCGCGCCCGACTGTAATGCATAATAAATATACTTTATAAACTACAAAGCATTATATGTTTGGTGTTAATGTGCTGATTCATACTTAGTATCTTGAGGCTGAGTCATGAAGAATAGAATTGTATTGGTGAGGGTTTTGGTAAGGTACAGCAATCTCTGTAGGTACTTTTAGCAGAAAGATATTTCAGCAGAAAGATATTTCATATAGGGAATATGCCATTTAAAAAAATCATTGAAAGATTGGAGAAATGGGAGCCAAAGGTGGTTCCTAGAATTACTGAGTTCAAGAGCCTACTGCTATAACTGTGGTCTAGGGACTGGGAAGCCCTAACTTGCATTGCTGTTAGCATGGCCACAACTGCTTCCATTAGAAATAGGGAAAGAAGATGAGTTTCAACTCTCCTCATCGTTTCAAATCTTCTTCAAATGCTTCTAATGGAGAAATGATTTGCATCCAGAATACTAGTTATGAAGAAGTCCAGGAAAGGCAATTTTTAACTATCACGCTTCATCAGGAAACTGGAAAGAGAGTGGTATAGAGGTTAAGCAAGCCAATCCACAGGATATTCTATGTACGAAAACTGCTACCAACTAGTTGTGGCATGAGGAAAAGATAAGGAAGCAATCTCCTTTAACAGTTCCTCAGGCAGAAACATTTTAAATGAAATCCAAAGTAGCTTTTTTTATAGATGAGGACTTTTAGTTATACCAACTGAATTCTAACTTTGTATTAGAAAATACATTTAAAAGGACGATTAAAAAATATAAACTAGCTTCCTATGTTAGCTGTCGGTTGCAGTAATAGGGTTGTAAGAAACACTTACTTTGTAAAGTGTGTGCAAATGAATTCTGTGCCTCTTTGTGCCAGTTGCAAGACCAAGGAAACATCCTTGAGTAATAAAGGAAGAATGCTCTTTTCTTGGGAATTGGAAGTCATTACATCATTGTGTATGGGCACAACCATCGCAAAAGGCAGAACCAATTCAATGAGTAGATTTTTTTTTTTTAATTGCATATGTATGTATTTTCCTGCTAAGAATCTGAAATGACTAATTAATTCATAGAAATCTTGGTAAACCAGTTTGTATCACTGGAAAAATGGTATTTTCCCTCTGCTCTCACCCATTATTTCCTAGCAAAATGTTTCTAGTTTGTTATTAGCCAACAAGGTTGCCAGTTAATTGATATGCTTCATTCATGTTCCCGGTAGGAAGATAATAGTGTGTGCAGATGAGGTAGAAATGCAGGTGAGTGGGCCAGACTCAGTGTTTTCAGCATGAACAAAGCTTCACTCCTTTCCCTGAGTTTCAGTGAAATAATGCTAAGTCACTCATTTCCAACCTCGATTCTACATCTGTACCTTTACACTTGCCCCTTAAATGCTCTGTATATGTTAGCCATCATTATCAATGTTATTTGTTTGCCTACTTTTAACTATTGTTTTTTTGTTGTTGGTACCAAGATGCAATGTAAGAAGGGAGATGCTCTGGTACATTAGGGAATATCAACAGGTCCTGTAGGGGCTGGGGCGGTGAATCCGCAGGAGGTAACTATTGAAATGTCTGTACATTGAGATTCCACATCAAACTCCTTTTAGTTAGTTAGTTCTTTGTTATTTGAACCTTCCACAACTTTCTGTAACTTTGTGTTCAGATTTGTTCAATTCTGCCACATAATGCTGCGTATATAAGTTCATACCTCCATATGACAGTGTTTTGTGTTCTAAAAGTCTTTATCTGCTATCTCAGTAGCATCTTGTGAGCTCTTGAGAACAAGAGGGTTTTCCCTTTTGCGCCCACTGCATTGCTTCCCACTCAGTATAAATATTCATTTCCAACCACTCATGTCTGTCAAGGGCTTTCCTGTGTGTGTCTCACTTGGGCTGGACCCCTGCAGTGCCCTTGCTTGAACTGTAGGAAACTAAGCAGGGCATTCAGAGGTAGCTGTTTCCAAAGGGCTCTGTAAGTGTATTTTGGTGAGATATTTGTTGAAGATTATTAGGCATGAAGGGCAGAATTTTTAACCTTCACAGAGGATTTTTAAAACACGTGATGTATGTGTGTGTGTTTGTATTTGGGGAGGACAGTGCAATGGTATTAGCATTCCCACTTTGAGAATAGCTGCTCCCAGTCCCCTGTGTTGAGACCAGCTCTTTTCTGCTTAGCCAGGAACTGCCCCTTTTAAGCCTGCATGGTCCAGTGTTTGCAGGAATTATTGAATGAACCCTATTTTGGCCTAAGATATATTGCCCAGGAAGAACACAAATTTCCATGGAAATGAGTGAGGGAGTAGCAGGAATGTTAGAAACCACAACTGTGCTGATACCATCTGAAAAATATTTCCTTTTGGTGTTATAAAAACACGGTTGGCTCTCCATTCTCTTACATTGTGATATAAATTACAAACGACTATTCATTTCTCATCAGCATGTTCACCCAAGGCCATATGTAAAGCATCACAAAACATCATTAATGCACCCCTCATTTCCAGCTTCCTAGATTGACCGTAGGCTCCTGTCATGTTCCACTGAGCCTGGACCTGCAGCGTCCTTGGCCTGTGGGAAACCCAGCAGGACATTTTGGAGTACTTTGTCAAAATATCCTTGTTAAAATGAAAATATACTTTTTTTTTTTCCTTCACAGTAATGTGCTTAATAGAATTCTCTGAGCTCCTGGATATCCCTGAGTCTCACAGCAATTTTTTTTCTTTTGATAAAATTTGGATCATACTATATAATCTACAGAATTTGGTAGTTTTTTTTTTCGACTTATTCGTATTATTGTAATCATTTCCCCGATATATATCTTTTTGGCTGGAAGGAAACTAAGGGATCTAATGTCTGGTGAGGATTGATCTTTGCTGGACTTTTGTTAGGCTCTGTTGTTAGGCTTGCATCTGGCTGCTTTATAACAGAAACCTGATTGGGGGCAGAACCAAATAGGCGCTTATTTATCTCAAGCAATAAGGAATTAGAGGGTGGGTAGTTTAAGGCTCAGTGATGGCTACATAGTGTGCCATCAAGCTCCCAGATCCCTGTCTTGCTATTCAAACCTCCTTAGCTGATGGCCAAGGAACTTCACAGTTTTGGTTCAGGATCCCAGCAAAAAGAAGGAGTAAGCAGAAGAGGAAAGTTGGACAGATTCCTGCTCACATATCATTAATCAGGACTGAGTCACATGGACGTGTCTAACTGCAAGAAAGCCTGGGAAGTTCAGTGTTCCAGTTTTAGGCAAATGCCTTGCATTTGTCAACTGTACGGGCTGCGTCAGTTTCTTCACATGTTCTCTCAGCCCTTACAGTGACTCTGTGTGGCTGTTATTATTGTCTCCATTTCATGGATGAAGTTAAGACTGAGAGGGGTTAAATACCTTATTTAGGGTCCCGGAGCTGGTAGGTGGAAGGGCTGGGATGTGAAACCTGGCCTGTCTGATTTCAAAGGTTTTAGTGTTTACTCTCT